AAGAAAAGAAAGTTGAAAGGGGTCCCATCAGACTTAAGTAAAAAAACGAGTCTTGATTCTTTAATTAAAACCACAGTATAGGTTATTTTCAAGGTTAAGAGTTAAGTGAACTTTGAGTTGGCTAAAATAATAACTTAGAGATTTTTTTGTGGATACAAATATTACACTTTTCTTGTGGAATCGATTTGCAGCACTCTTGAACCACATTGCTACTTGACACACACACTTGCGTTATATGACCGACTTAAGTCCCGATAAGTTTTGGCACATTAGTGCAGTGCAAGGGTAAATGCTACATGTATGACTTTGACGATGTTACAGACACCGACTCCATCCTAAAGTTCAAGAAATCTAACGTGTGTTACCCAAAAGGATTTTGAAAGATTTGGTCTCACATATGGCCAAGTTTTGCTAATTGCATAGTTTTAAAAATATAGTGGGCAATTAAATGCAAACTCACGACATGCAAGGTGGCTTACCTTAGATTCTTTAAAAGCTTAGCACATTTATACTTGTGTTGATCCTGATGCAATAACTCACATTGTTCACCAAGATTTACCAAAAAAATAATGCTCATTAAAGCATCACAATCGACACAGAGTCACTCACAATCTAATTTGCTATCAAGACAGATGAGGTAATGATTATGCAATCATGCAAACATAACATAATCAGATGTGCAAATATTGTGAACTCAATGAGTTTAGTGGCTTTAGAGCGTCACCCAAGCTGAGCGCACAATGTGAATTGCTTCTGACATTAAAGTGTGGATTTATAAGAGATGAGATAGTGTGCTCAAAATTTAGGAGGTTTACACACCAACGGGCTAGGATTGTTAGCCACACACTCACCCGAGATTTGTAAATATTGAGTGACCCACATATGGTGGTATATGTGTGTGATAATACCACAAGTGTTGTTGCTCAGAGAGACACTACATACAAGCATATGCCAAAGGCAAAAACTTAAATTTTCACGTAATAGTCTTTAACATACCACACCATTAAAAAATACATGTTTTTTATGCATATGCAAGCATGAGCTCAAGCACTTTGCAATGAACATGCAAGTATTTTGAATGCAAATGTAGAAAATGCAACATGCAATTGATTGGTTGAAAGAGCCTCGGTGGCTAATTGAACCAAAATGGGTGCATATACGAAGTGTCATATTAGATCTTTAAACTTATAGGATTCATTATTTAAAGATGCTGAATTTAATTATAAGTTTGCTAGAACTTGAGATAATTTGATCATCCGAGTAATATTTTATTTTTTCAAATATACCTCAAGTGCTTGATCGCCACTCACTTGGCACACTTTCTTGAGACTCCTAGTCTAATTATAAATTTCTTGTGGGTAGAGTTTGGATTGTCATGAGTTTGACTCCCCTAATTTATCTAATTCAGAAAGGTAACGGTTCGTACTTAATAAAATGAATTTGTTATGGTAAATTAAGTATAATTTGACGTAATGATGGTTGGACTTAGATACAACTTTTATTAAAAGATATTTTATTTTATTTTATTTTATTTTAAATGCATGTCAATTTAAACAGGATGGCCTAATTTTAGAAATTGGCTTAGTCTTGCCGAACCCTTGCGACAAACTTGTTATCTAATGCCGGGCATTAATAATGATGTCCAGCTTGATCAGTTCATAATAAAGATTGGATCAAATAATAGCTTGCTTCATTATGATTCATGCTCAATATCTAACACTGTGCTTAAATCAAATCATTTAATTTGATTTATATTTGCAAATTCATAAAATCAAAGTAGACACAATGAATTAAAATAATATACATTCGTAAAATAAATATTTAATTTCTATTATTTATCAGCCCTCTTATTAATTCTTGTGAAATCATAACTTTTTTATGTACCAAAAAGACTTGTAAATATTATAATGAGTCTTCACGTTCTGAACAAATGCTCTCAGGTTCCTTTATTTTTTAAAAATAAAATATATTTCATACACAGCATTTTGCCTATTCATATGCCGGGCTCTAATGACATCATGGGGGCATATATAAATTAGGTCCGAGTACAAACATGATACAAACATACCCAGCTTGTACCCATATCTGATTTATATATGTTAGGCATCACGATGTCGTTGGAGCACATACACAGTTTGGATGTAATATCTTTCCGTACTATAGAGGGGCTAATCCAAACTCTGGATGTAATATCTTTCCGTACTATAGAGGGGCTAAAATCTTGATTAGAATGGCAGTGAATCCATATCAATGGTGGATACATCCAAACTCCAGCTGCAAGCCGCGCGGGTCCAACCCTGCGGACCACCCGCGGGCCGCATTTCAGGATAAACTGTTTATTTTGGATAAGCATAAGCTGTCTCAAACACACCCTATAACAGTTTTCATGATTATAGAGCTGGGAGTTGTGGCTACACGATTATCACTTGGGTGGTAAACGAGTCGAGCTTGAGCAAGCTCAGGCTTGGCTCGTGTTTGGCTCGTTCGAAATAGCTCGTGTTTGAAATCGGCTCGTGAACAGTGTGTTCGTGTTCGGCTCGAAATTAGCTCGTTAAAATTAAATTGAGAAAAATAGATGTAAAGTGTGAGATTTGAACCTGAACCAAATATATACAAAAGAATGCACTAATCATATTGTCACATGAGGTGTTATGATTTAAACTTAGACATAAATATATATAATATATTATTATATAAATAATATGTGTAATATATTGTTATATAAACAGTTATATAAATTTTTTATTTCGAGCTAAAACTAGCCGAACATGAGTTGTTCGCGAACTACGAGCTTTTTTGACAGCCCTATTTATCACGTTAAAAATATTTACTTGTCACTGCACAATCAATTAAATCTATCACGTTGAAAATATTTACTTGTCACTGCACAATCAATTAAATCGAAAATATAATCGAGCACAAAGGATTGTTTAGCTTTAATTTATTTTAATCCGACATAATTAATTTTGGATTCAAATTTTATTACCGTAGTTGATTGTATTTTATTTTATTTATGAGTCAATTAAAACACGCTTGACTTGTCGATATAGTTTCTCCGTGTTCCGTCTAGATCTTGCGCGACAGGTTTTTATCAAATGATTAGCATTTAAATCGATTGAAATGGATCAGAAAATGGCTGGTTTAATATGTTCATATTAAAAGTATTTTTGCCCTTCCAAAAATTATTGTGACTATTATTTTTTTTTCAAAAATTTAGATTTTAAATATTATCGATCTAAGAGTGCTGGATATCTCATCATTTTTACATCTGATGGGTCACAGTAAAGGTCTGTTTGGGGCAGCTGCAACTTATTGAATAGTTTGCTGATAAGCTGATTAAAAATAATTGCTGACAAGCTAGGTGCGGTAGCTATTTAAATTTTTTATATTTTTGGAAAAAACTAGACCACAACCAGAAAGTTGCTACCGCGCCTAGATATGTGCGGTGTGAAAACACTGTTTTCAGCATTTTGAAAACGTATAAGCTGCCAAAACGCAGTTTACTCAAACATGTCAGATACGTTTTTAAAACGCCACTACACGAAATAAGCTACCTCAAACGGACGAAATAAGCTACCCCAAACAGACCCTAAATGAAATTGAATGAAGGGTGAAAATAAACATTGAAATTAAAATTTGGGTTTGATCGTAATTTGCATTAAGATTTTAGATGGGAAACTAAAAAAACGTTATCATCTGGATCAGTGTAGCTCAATTTAAATTGATTTTTAGGTTTGATTGAATCCGATGAGGCTTAATTTTCAATATTTAATTATTAAGGATGAATAAGCTAGTAATATGAGATTAAAGTTGATGGCTCAAGGCACATCTTGTATTAGTATAAAATTAATCTGGATCAATTATTTTTATTTACCAAAACTCTTACCTGATTCAAACAAAATAATCAGTTCATATTGAACTCTATTTGAACTATTTGGTTTTTTCTTAATTGAGTAATTTTTTTTTTTAATTTTAGTGATTTTTTCACCCCTATGATCAATTAGGGTGATTCTAACCATATTTTTTTATGATATATGAATGTTTTGGTTGGTATAAATATAAAAAAGTAATTTTTAGATGTTTGATACATAAATACATAAGAATTGGGTGGTATGTATGTAAATGCCGGAAATGCTAAACCCGTCTGATGACATCACAAATATTAAGGTTGCGTTTGGGGCAGCTTATGCGTTTCAGGAGAGGTTGTTTATCCTAAAATGCAGCCCGCCTCGGCCTGCGTTTAGTGTAAAAACCCAATCGCGGTTTCGGATAAGTTGGCGAAGCGTGCAAACCAAACGGTACGGCGACGTTTTGAAAACGAGCCCGCACTTATAAGCTGCCCCAAACAGACCCTAAGACTGAACACAAGCGGGTGGCTCAGTGCCCCAGAAAAATTCACAAGAATGTAGATAA